TGGCACAGCTGGCTACACCCCCGGAGCTGCCCAAGCCATCAAAACACCCAGAGTTTTGCCAAGCATCAGCACCTTTTAGACACCTGCAGATAAGGACAGGAGCTGCACGGGGAAGCTCTGTTTTGCAATACGTGCAGAGAAAGAGTCAGCAGTGACGGAGCCGAAGAGGAATTGCGTGACAAACATGCGTGCAGTGCCATCCGTCACATTCTGCCCAAAGCTGGCACTGGTGCCAGGCTCCAATCAAAGGCAGCTCAGCGGGGTGCAGGCAGAGGAGCCTGCCCAGCCTGCAGCAAGGTCCAAGCTGTCTCAGCTGAACTCCAGCAAGGACAGCAGGTGGTGGTTTGGAGCCAAACCACCCCTGCAGCAATGAGATTGCCTCGTGTCTCACAGCAACACCACCACGGTGCCAACTCCAGCCCTGGAGAGCCCAGTCCCTGTCCACCAGCCCACCCACCCATGCAGCAGCACTCACCAAAGGACAGCTTCCCAGTTTCTCACAAACAGCAATCCATGCAAGTCTAACAGCAAATATAACAGTGACACACACCCAGAAAGCTCCTTCAGACCAGCTTTCTCCAGTCCAGGCTCCCAGTGAAAGCTCCACACAGGGAAGGGGACAAGGGGGCACTGCTCAGAAAGAGAGAGCGAGCACTCCTCGTGCTCCCTGCAGCCACGTGACAATGACCCTCATGTCCCTGACTCAGCACAGGCAGTGCTTAGTGAGCAGAGAGGAAGCACAGCTGTCACGATCTCCAGTGCTGGAAGCGTGGCTGGGGATGTCACCACTGCCACCAGATCTGCCAGACTCCTCTTTCTGATCAAAAGAACAATCTTAAATTCCCAAGGCAGAGGCAGGTGTGCATAATCAGACCTCCTTTCCCACCTTGTCTGCCCCCAGGGACTGCCCTTTCTCTCTTGCTGGCCATGGCACAACACAGGTTAGGGGAATGATCAACCTTAAGAATAAGCCTTAAAAAAAGCCCAGTTTTAAATCAGAGACCAATTATTTCCACGAGCATCATGGCACAGCCCCAAAACACAACCTCAGGACAGACACATAAGAGATAAGCAGAGATAAGCAACCAAACCAAGTGAAAACTCCAACGCTTTGTACAGCACAGACCTGCAGCCTAAGCTTTAGATATAAAGGAAAAACAGGAAGACTGAAAATAGAAATTAAACAACTGAAATATCTGGGAGGAAAAAAAAAAAAAAAAACCACTGGACAGTCCTCTGACAGGTCTGCAAAGTTTATGGAGAGCTCACAGAGACAGCAGCACCAAAAGGAAGCTGCACTGAGCCCCCATCACTCCTCACAGCAGCAGCAGTGGAGAAGMAGGAAGAGATTGCCCACAAACAGGAATCAGCCTTGTGACCAGCCAAGGGCTCTCTTCTTTCACCCACTAAGGACACAAGACAGGCAGGTGACTGATGGGTGTCAGGAAGAGGAGCCCCACAGACACAAGCCCAGGAGGAAAGGCAGCAGCAGAAAGAGCAGGGCTGYGGTGGAGGTGGCATTTCTGCCCAGACTCCTGTGCCTGATCTCCTCTGAACCCCAGTGCAGCCAAGACTTCCTGCACATCAGTGTGTGGTATTGGGCCAGGAGACCCTTGGGGCAAAACCAGATCTTCTCTTATTCCTCTTGGGAATGCAACCAGGTAGACTAAGAAATTCTGTTTACATCAGCCTGTGCCAGTCTCAAATTAGCTCTTTTTACTTTCCTTTTTACTGAAAGGAGACCTGGCAAGGAAAGTCGTCCTTTCCAAAACAAAAGCAGCCCACGGAAGCAGGCGCTGAGATCCAGGTTATTTAACATTGCCTTGGATCAGCCTTTTCCCCACAGCTCTGCCACATGGAGATTCCATTTCCCATCAACAAGAGGAGTCTGATCTGGTCAGACAAGCAGCCCTGTTTGGCCTGGTCTGCACAGGCTCCCTGATTTGAGTMCCTGGGCCCCTGGGGATGGAAGGCACAGTGGGAAACCTCACAGCTTTCATTGTCCCTTCAGCCTCTGCTGGTGTGAAGGCTTGCTACACTCAAAGCTTCCCTAACACCTTCTTCCCACATATTTCCCACAACTTCCCATTAACCACCAGCAACTCACTGAGGGTGGAAAGCAGCAGAGCTTCTTTCAAGCCAGGGAAGTGCTCCTGAACACTTCCACCAGCTCAGAAATCCCAATCCAAAAGGAGTTGGCTGCAGCAGCACCTCAAGCAGGGAAAGGAACCCAGAAGCTATTGGGGGGTTTTTTTGTGAAACAAAAGTTACTCTCACTATGAAAGACAAGGTGGAACATCTCTTCTACTCAGACCCTGACACACCGGCTCAAACATCAGCARAACTTCTATTTTAGGCACAGGACAGACACAGAATGTGCAACAGTCAGTCTGGATCTTGAATTACTGCATATTTGAGCTTCCACTGTCACACTCGCATGGTTTCTGGCCCCTGGGTCTTATTCAAGGACAGCAGAGCAGCTGCAAAACCAAGGAAGAGAACAAGAACTGCTTTACTGAGGCAGAAAGGAGCTCTGTGCTGAGGGTATGCTGAGGTGGGGCTGTGCAGTGAGCCCAATGCACTGAACCAAAGATTTCAGGCATTATCCAACACTAAAATRAATCCAAACTTGCCAAGCTGCCTTAAAGTAACTTAGAATTACTGAACTTGCACACTGCCTTTCACCAGATAAAAACCTGACTCTGAACCTTTAAACACAGGGCATCTCACCAGCTTAGGCACCTGGACACCTTACTTGGCAGATTAATGTGAGTCAGCACAAAAACAAGAGTTCAGGGTTACAGGATAAACAAAACCTGAGAGTGGCAGGTAAACTGACCCCCTGTGAACCAGCAGTGCTCCCCAGCCTCACCTCTCAGGGAGGGACAAACCCAGAGCACCACACTTCAGGCATCACTCAGAAGAGGAACTTCCTTGTCCCTTGCAGGGACAAGYCTGCAGGAGTTTTAAACCACCTTACTGCCAACTCCCTGGGCACCTCTCAGGCAAASCAACTGCTCAGAGAGCTGCAAAACCGCAGGAGAAACCCACCTGGGCATGGATTTTGCATAGTTCAGGTCCTGCTGAAGATGTTTTTTTAAGTTCAAGAGGGAAAATGAGACTTTTTTTCAGCAGCCTCTTCTGCAAGGGATGTGCCCTGTGTGCCAGTCACAGCTGCAAGTTCCTCTCCTCCCCACAGTCCATTTGCTCACCCTGTGCTTGAGTTTTTTGAGGGTTGGTGTGACAGGCTGTGGCTTTGCCTGCAGCCACTACTGGGAAAGAAGCCCTATGGACAGGGTCAGTAGCCAGAGGCTTTGACCTCTCCCCCCACCRGAAAAAGTCTGGACAGCAAAACCCTCCAGTGCTGGTCTCTTTTGTGAGGYTTCCCTTGAAACCAACAGCTGGAAGAGCACCAAGGGGACAGGGTTAAACAGATCCTGCAAAGTTTTAGGAGCTGTCAAGACTTTTGATCGGAACAGTGTGTTTTGGGGATTTATTTATTTATTTCAAGAAAACCAAGCACTGCTTGTCAGGAGCCAGGACATTTTTTTTTTTTTTTTCTCAGCCAACTTCTCTCTGATGATGCAAGAGCTTTTCAGACATTACAAGCTCATCTCCTGGAGGTGTTACTGTATGATCCTTACACCTCCTGGTAACTCAGGAGTAGAGCTGTCCTGCTCTGGCTGCCCTATCAGAAGGGTGTGCAATCACCCTACAAACCTCTCTACCTGCCACAGGTCAGCAATCTGATCTGGACTTCACTTTTTTGAAATTATTTGGGAAATACAGGCAACTTCCCAGCCCAGCCCCTTGCAATCACACAACCACGGCTACAGACCTCAGAACATCAATTCCACACCCAAAACAGATGTCCTTGTGCCAAAAAGTGACACAGACCACAGGATATCCCACAATTCAGGGCTCACAGGCTGAAAGGCTGGTCCCAAGCTGCAAAATCMACAACTCTCCAAGTCCCCAGCACAATCAACACAAAGAGAAGATATTTGACACAGGGGTWTTTTGTTCATTTGTAACAGGAGCTGCTCCTCTTACCTCCAGCAGTTATGCATTGAGCCCTGTTACACAACCAGGGCTTGCACAATCCTTGCAGGCATTTTATCAACTTGCTCCTCCAAAGCTTGGAGTTGGAGAGGAGATGCAGCAATGACCCGTGAAAGAGAGTCAACTGATGTGTTTCACAAACAACCAGGCAGCAAGACCCGGGGTACTTGCCAGCATCACAAAACCAGACCTACCAACTCCCCAGGCGGGTTGCTAAACCTCCCCAGCAGACTTCCCATGCAATGCCAGAGCCAGGAGAAAGATMCAACCCCATCTCTAACTCCAAACCTCACCATCTCCTCGTCCACAAAGAAAGAAAGGAAGGTTAATTAGTCAGTAACTCCATTCCTTGCAAAAGAGTGACTGGAGGCACAGACATGGCTGATTACTAAGCAAAAATACAATAATCTACCACCATGGGTCAMACTCAGGCACTCTTTGGACTTTTGGCCCTCCAGAAGCCACTAGAGATGGCTTTTTGTCTTTCTGGATTCCATGAGTGATAGCAGCATGCAATTAATTTTGAATGTTTACTCAGGGACAAACAGCAAGAGATTACGAGCGGCCTGTAATTATTTGTTCTGATCTATGCAATTTCAAAGCCTATAAAAAAGCAATCTTGGCAGAGATGCACCTGTCACTGCAGGGCTGTGAGTCACTCTCCACAACAGCGTGCACAAAGTAATCTCATCACTGGGATCAAATGATCACATTGGGAAAGCAAATTATGCAAGTTGTACGAATTGTTTTGTTAGAGGCGGGAGAGTCCACGTCAGGAAACAGAACAAAGTTCAGTGGCCACAGAGGTAACTGCAGCTGGTTTGCTGTTATACCAGGGGAGGAGATGGCAGGAGCACAGACCTGAGCAGGGAAGCCTTTTCTCCAGTCCTTCAGAACTGAGCAAACAAACTTTGCTGCCTCACAACAAGCAAAGGAGAGAGCAAAGACCAAGTGGGATTTCAAAGAGCTTTCAGTTGCTTTTGCTGCAGGTAAAGAAACCATCACTCCCAACCACCCTCCCCAAACCCAACTGCACCCAGAGATGCTCCACAACTTKTGACACTCAAAAGAAAGGGGTTACCTTGAACCTATGGGTCTGCAAACAAGAGCTGGTGAGGCCTGTGAGCTCCAGCACGGAGKGTGGTGAGCAGCAGGGAAAGTCTMYCTCGARACAGTTCAAGGAGTTTTGGTTGTAYGGCCCYGTCGAGCTCCTCCAGCTGCTCTGCAAGAAATAAAACAGAAGTTGCAAGAGGCACTTGGCTGCCTAGGAGGCACCAACCCAGAAATTACTGACTGAACAGGAGGCAACTACGAAGTGATGACAAGCAAGAGGTTCTTCTCTGTCCCAATTAGAGCAGGACTAATTAACAGGGGGTTAAGCCAGATTTGTGACACTCCCCCCTCCTTCCTGCCCACTCTTCACCTCACTCTCCAAGGCTTTTACTCTCCAAGATTAAAAGAAAGCACCCAATTGGTGTTTCTTCYTGTAGCTCCGTATCTTCCCTGCTCCGTGTTTT